CCCTCCCGGCCCCCACTTTTATCACAAGAAAAGTGACGTGAATGTAGCCCCTCGTTCGTTTCAGGGGGGCCCTGGCTGAAGTCCTTGCAGAAGCTCAATGATTTATGCCTAGCACGCTGCAGTCAGTGGGAAGGTCAGTGGGAACGTGCTTTCTGTCCGGGTCTCCCACCCACACGTCATGCCTTTTCCACCGTAACCATCACTCATCACACGCGAGGGCCTTCACTTCTGCAGTTTGAGGCGCGACAGCAAAGTTCTTTCTCCTCCACAATTTCACAGAAGATTCGATCTTACTGCAGATCTTCCCAGCCCAGCATTCAGACATGTTTTCCCTGTCCTGGTGAAGCAGGTAATTCCCCCGTTCACTGCACGGAACACTTCCCTCCCGGCTTCTTCCTGCCAGATCCGAATGGCCACATCCGAATGCTGCGGGCCATTGTTAAGTAAAGCGAGCGAAGGAGACCTGAACGCAGCCTGATACTGGCTCTGCGGGGAGCGCCGGCCCCGGGCGGGCAACCTGCCACTTCACTGCGCCTCAAAAGTGTTGCTTGCTTTTAATTTCAACTTTTGTTGTTAATCCTCACCCCAATCTATGTTTCCGTTGATTTTTAGAGAGAATGGAAGAGAGAGGGAAAGACAGAGAGAAACATCGATGTGAGAAACACATCCATTGGTTGCCTCCTGAACGTGCCCTGACCAGGGGCAGAAGATTCGATCTTACTGCAGATCTTCCCAGCCCAGCATTCAGACATGTTTTCCCTGTCCTGGTGAAGCAGGTAATTCCCCCGTTCACTGCACGGAACACTTCCCTCCCGGCTTCTTCCTGCCAGATCCGAATGGCCACATCCGAATGCTGCGGGCCATTGTTAAGTAAAGCGAGCGAAGGAGACCTGAACGCAGCCTGATACTGGCTCTGCGGGGAGCGCCTCACAGGTGTTGCTTGCTTGTAATTTCAACTTTTGTTGTTAATCCTCACCCGAATCTATGTTTCCGTTGATTTTTAGAGAGAGAGGAAGAGAGAGGGAAAGACAGAGAGAAACATCGATGTGAGAAACACATCCATTGGTTGCCTCCTGAACGTGCCCTGACCAGGGTCCGGGCCGAGGAGAAGCCTGCAACCGAGGTACGTGCCCTTGACCGGAATCGAACCCGGGACCATTCAGTCCGCAGGCCATCGCGCTATCCACTGAGGCACAGGTGTTGCATTTTTTACAAACTCATTCCCTTCCAGGGCAGGAGGAAGACATCGCGAGATTTCATCGCACTACGCGGCACACATTAAATCTTACGAATTATTTCTGGAATTTTCCATGTAATACAAGGCATCTCGAGATTTCATGGCACTACTCGGCACACCTTAAAACTTACGAATTATTTCTGGAATTTTCCATGTAATATTTGTGCCCACAGTTAGCCGGGGGTAGGTGAAAACGTGGAAAGTGAAACCATAGCTAGAGTGGGGGCCGTGCCCGTATTCTCTGGTTCACCTGCGTCTCCTCAGCCCGTGCCAAAGGCCTAGTCCCGGCCGCTGGTGGCCTGGCAGGGTGACTTTTGCCAGCCCCTAGGGCAGTGGTTCTCAACCTTCCTCATGCCGCGACCCTTTCATACAGTTCCTCATGTTGTGGTGACCCCCAACCATAAAATCGTTTTCGTGGCTACTTCAGAACTGTAATGTTGCTACTGTGATGAATCGTCATGTAAATAACTGATATGCAGGATGTATTTAGGCGACCCCTGTGAAAAGGTCGTTCGACCCCCATAGGGGTCGCGACCCACAGGTTGAGAAACGCTGCCCTAGGGGGGTGTGTCCCTGCTCCTCCTACAGGGCAACTGGGGCATCTTTCAAAAATGCAAACTCTTGCCCTAGCCTGTTTGGCTCAGTGGATAGAGCATCAGTCTGTGAACTGAAAGGTCCCAGGTTCAATTCTGGTCAGAGGCACATGCCCAGGTTGTGGGCTTGATCCCCAGTGGGGGGCGTGCAGGAGGCAGCCAATCCATGATTCTCTCTCATCATTAATGTTTCCATCTCTCTCTCCCTCTCCCTTCCTCTTTGAAATCAATAAAAAAATATATATATTTAAAAAAATTCAAATTCTTGCCCAGCCGGTGTAGCTCAGTGGTTGAACATCGACCTATGAACCAGGAGGTCACGGTAGGATTCCTCATCGAGCCCAGGTTTCAGGCTCGATCCCCAGTGTGGGGCGTGCAGAAGGCAGCCGATCCATGATTCTCTCTCATCGCTGATGTTTCTATCTCCCTCTCCCTTCCTCTCTGAAAACAATAACAAAAAATATATTTTAAAAAAACAAAAAATGCAAACACCATCTTAAACCAGCCGGAAAAGAGGCTCCCCGTGGCCCTTGAGATTCTAACCTTCACAGAGAAAATAAACTTCACAGGCCCCGTCCTACTTGGACTACTGGCAGGTACCGGACCTGTCCTCACCTTTCTCTGCTGCCCCACTGCCGCCGCCTCCACAGCCTCCAGCTGAGGCCCGCTGTCCACACACAACCCCTGGCCGCTCCCCTCAGCGCTGGTCTCCCCGCACCTCCCAGGCTGGGAGCTGGGAGCCAGGGACCCTGACCCCCCGACTGCTGCCCAATAGGGACGCCTAACATTTACCCAAGGAACTTCCCCATCGTCCTCCTCCCCCATCACAGTCCTCCCCTGCCCGCTGGCCTCTGACTCACTTTATTGATCACAGGTTTACCTCCTTTATTGGGCTTTGCTTGACTGCACTTCACAGGTGTTGCTTTTTCTTTTTTCCCCACAAACTGAAGGCGAGACCTTCCCCCAACCAAGGTCACAGGGGCTTCACCCCACGAACAGGTCCCGCGGCGGTGATGCTGGGGGAGGTGAGCCTCCGCGCCGCCGGGCACAGAAAATACACCGCACACCGGGCCGCACCGTCCTGGTCACGATGAACGCCTACGTGACGCTTTGTGCATTCACTAGCTGTACTTTTCATCGTTTCTACTTTTTTTAAAAAAAAAAGTTAGCTGTGAAACAGTCCCGCGTCTCCTGATCGAACCATTTTCTCCCGTGTTTGGTTTTATCTCATTTTTGCTTTTTTGTCAATCCTCACCCCCCCAAGGATATTTTCCCATTGATTGTTAGAGAGAGTGGAAGGGAGCGGGAGAGCCAGAGAGGAGCATCGATGTGAGAGAGACACGTCCATTGGCTGCCTCCTGCACGCACCCCGAACTAGGTAGGACCTGGGAACCTGCAACCGAGGCCCTTGACCGGAATCGAACCCGGGGCCCTTCGGTTCGCAGGCGGACGCTCTACCCACTGAACAACACCGGCCAGGGCTTATCTCGCGTTCCGTTCCGTGTCAGGCTGTGCAGGCCCGTGGCCCTGGCTGCGTGCACCCATCCAGGCGTGCGGTGCGCCCCGTGCGGTTGGCGCGCCTATCGTCCACTTCTCTCAGCGCCGCCGGTAACGGTTTTTGTTCACGAAACC